AAAAAAAAAAAAAGTTTTCTTTTTATTTATATTTTTGAGACAGAGTCTCACTATGTCACCCTCAGTAGAGTCCTGTGGCATCACAGTTCATAGCAACCTCAAACTCTTGGGCTTAAGCGATTCTCTTGCCTCAGCCTCCCAAGTAGCTAGGACTACAAGTGCCCACCACAACACCCAGCTATTATTTTGTTGCAGCTGTCATTCTTGTTTAGCTGGCCTGGGCTGGGTTCAAACCTTCTAGCCTGAGTGTATATGGCTGACACCATAACCACTGTGCTACAGGCACTGAGCCAAAAAATAAATGTTTTGTAGACAGGGTCTTACTATGTTGCCCAGGCTGGTCTCAAACTCCTCACCTCAAGCAATCCTCCCATCTTGTCTCTCAAATATATTTATTCTATAATTTCAAGTTAGTCTTATACTTGTTGAGATACTCATTTCTCTGGTTGAGTGCCACTCACCTCAAATGCCTCTGTGGGATTGGGTGCTGATCCTCAATGTTATAAAATCTCCAGTTTTCTCCCGAAAGAGAACAGGAATCATTTCTTGTGAATTGTACAATTTTCTCTCCATTGAATACTTCATCCCCAAAAATTTCCCGCTGAGGACATGCTCCATTGGTTCTAACATAAATCCAAAAATCTGTAATAATTGGTGACACAATTTAATTTCTTGAGGGAGGAGGATGGTGGGAGACCATATATAGATTTCTTTTCATGTACTAATCCACAATTGCATCCATATTTTATTTTATTATTTATTTATTTTTACCCCGGATAGAGTGCCATGGCATCACACAGCTCACAGCAACCTCCAATTCCTGGGCTCAAGCAATTCTCCTGTCTCTGCCTCCCAAGTAGCTGGGACTACAGGTGCCCACCACAACACGTGGTTATTTTTTGGTTGCAGCCGTCATTGTTGTTTGGCAGGCCCTGGCTGGATTCGAACCTGCCAGCTCAGGTGTATGTGGCTGGCACTTTAGCCACTTGAGCCACAGGTGCCGAGCCTATAACCACATTTTATATAGAAAAACAGATATGCAAACAAAGTAAAACTCTGAAAATCTTGTCTATGTGGGACTTTGGCAATAATAAAGAATGCATCAAAATGGTAGCCTGTTTACTAAGTATCATTTCCAAACAGATGGAAACTGACACTGAGATAAGTAGAATATTATCAGAAAAGCAAAGTGAAGGAAGTGAGCAAAATGCACATGCCATATGCTACCTCTATAAGAAATAAATACATGGGCTCGGTGCCTATAGCTCAACCGGCTAAGGCGCCAGCCATGTACACCTAAGGTGGCGGGTTCAAATCCCCAGCCCGGACCCGCCAAACAATAATGACGGCTGCAACCAAAAAATAGCCGGGC